AGGGGACTCTCATTACCGCGGGAAGTCTCTGACAATTTTTAAAGCCAGGATTTCACAATTTCTAGTCATCGGCTCCACTCTTTGAACCACAGCCCTGGCTCTCCGTGCAATTTCTTTGGGCCTCTTCTTTCACAGGAGAGACACAATACTTTTCCCTGATTCACCATTTCTTGATTGATGTGTTACAGTATTTGGAAATTTAGATGTTTCTTAAATTCTGTGAAGGATGGAGAAATAGTACAGCAGGTAATGCACTGGATGTATTAAACCTGGATTTGATCCTTAACACCTCATACAGTCCCTGGAGTCCCTTCTGGAGTGATGCCTGAGTGCAGAACCAGGAGCAAGCCCTGAGCACAGCCAGATGTGGCCTCCTAAATAAAAAATGTGAAGGAATTCCCAGATAGAAACACTACAGGGTCTCTCCTTGGCCTAATTAGAAGTTTTCACACTTAGTATAATGACCATATATTCAGTTTAATTAAGCTTTGCTGCTTAAAGCTTTCCCTTTTATTGGTTGAGGATGAGAAGTTGCCTCTGCCAACTCTGCAAGTAACTAAATTTCTGATTTTTTTCTTTAAAGAAACTTTGACTATGCATACATCTAAACCACAGTGCAAACAACACTGTAAAGCATGAGAGCCGAACTACAATAACCAAAACTTTACAAATGTGCCTGGCACACCATTACCCATTGCGGCACTCAGTACAATAGCAAAGATTTGGAATCAACCTAGAGATCCAACAAATAAATGAATCATAAAGATGTGGTGTGTATATACACACACATACATCACACAATAGAACACTACTCAGCCATAAGGAATAATGAAATCATGCAATTCGCTGCAATGTGGATGGAACTGGAAGACATTGTGTTAAATGAAGTAAGGATAAACATAGGACAGTATCGCATAGTATCTCTTGTGGTATTTAGAATAGCTGGATGAGGGGATGACATATATTAAAGGGGGGAATGCCCAGATCAATCTTGGCCCCTGAGTGTGGGAAGGAGAAAAGAGAGGAGTGGGGGAGAAGAGACAGATGAGAAGCAATGGGTGCCAGGTCAGGGGATTAAGGTACAAAGGTGGTGTTAAGGAATGAGAGTCCATTACCCAAATCAGAGTCAACAACACTGAAATAAAGGGACCCCAACTTTAACAATCAAACATAGAAAGGTACCTGTCGAGATGGCAAGCTGTGGGGGTGGAAGGATGTGGTGGTGGAATATGGGAGGGAATCTGGGAACATTGGTGGAGGGAAATTAACACTGGAGATAGGATGGGTGCTGCAATATTGTATGTCTAAAACTCAACTACGACTAATTTTGTAAATCATAGTGCTTTAACTAAAAACTTGAAAGAAAGCACCCCTAAATCAAATGTGTCAATCAAGAAGGCAGGCTGAAGGGTGGGAAGGAATCTGGGAACATTGGTGGAGGAAAGTTGACAGTTGATGGATGGATGTTGGACCACCGTATGCCTGAAACTCCTTTATGAACAACTTGGTATATCCCATGCCTTAATAAAAACAGACCCCCTCACCCCCTGCAAATAAACAAAAAACCCACAAAACTTTGTGGCCAGAGAGACCATACAGAGATCAATGCACTTGCTTTGTACACAGTGAAACCTGGTTCAAACCTGGCACTGCTGGTTCACCCTGAGAACCAGCAGAAGTGATTCCTGAGTTTACAGCCAGGAGTAAGCCTTGGGCACTGCTGGGCATGGCCCCCACAAACCAACCAAACAAAAGGTTTGTCTAATGCATTTCATATAGTAGCGAAAATATGCACTTTTAATCTTAACTCTTCTAATACAACTTTATTAAGTTGTCTTCCAAGTATTGCAGCCAAGTTTACCAAATCTTTTGCTGAAGCAAAATGTTTCAGCTTCATTTGCCATTCAATCCAACACAGTTGTTTAAGAACAAGTCTTTTCTCTCTCTCTGTCTCTCTCTCTCTCTCTCTCTCAACTTAAATGGCAGCACTTTCAGGACTAATCCCTGAACAGTCTGCTCAGATGAGGTTATGCTGTAGAAATATAATTCTAAGTGCAAGAGTTTAGAATCGAAGGCTTATTTCTTCCTCATGCTACCACACATTGATCTGAATCAACAGAGGGGCTCAGTTCATAGTCCCTCAGGAACCTCTGCTGATGGAGCAATCACCATGCAAATATAACAACAGTATGCCAGACAGTATGAAGGTTCTAAAGGATCTCACATAAATTGTTAAATGCTCCAATCAGAAATCATTTTCATTCATAACTCTCTGGCCAGGAAAATATGGACCACACACTAGAAGGATCTGGTAAATAGCAGGAATGAAAATCACACCAGTTTTTCTTGTTGTTTGTTTTTAAGTTTAATTTGTTCAAACAAAGAATTCTAGATGAATGCTCTTAGGAATACATTCTGGGATAAGCAGTGCTCTATAAGTATTAAGGAAAGAGAACTGAATTATGGGTATTTATTTTTCTACCCTAAGACTAAATACACTTAGAATTTTAGTATAGGTAATAAAAAATGTGGACGATAATTTATGAGTTACTTTAGATAATTTAGAGTTTCACTATAGCGTAGGAATAGTGAAAATAAGCCAGCATATCCACATGCAGATACACAGCAGAGGTAGGTAAACTTTTCCTTTAGAGTGCCAGACTGAACATTCTTTAGGTTTTGTCATGTTCCCTGTTGTGCAGGAACCATGCTTTTGTAATGTGGTATCTTCAACAAGGATGCTTCACGAACAAAAAGCAAGGCTGTTAATAAGATTTAGTGTATGGAAGCTGTGGGTTGTAGTCTATGAGCACACTGAAACAAAGCAATAAAGAGCATGTAACAATTTATAAGTTTATAGTTCTAAATTTTACAAAAATTTTATAAGCCATAGCATTATCGGTCATTTTATAAAACAGGTTGGTTGGAAAATGTCATTTTTGTTCTTTTTGGAAAAACCAAATGACTCCAAGTGTACCTGATACATTTCCTGAAAATGAAAATGTATTTATTTAAAAGGCAGTTCTACAGATAAAATTTTTATTGAATTCAATTTTGGCTTTTTAAGTCACACCAGGCGATGCTCAGGAGTTACTCCTTGCGGTGCTTGGTGGACCATATGGATGTCAGGATCGAACCCAGGTTAGCCATAGGCAAGGCAAACACCCTGCCTTCTATTCTATTACTCCGGCCCCCTGAAAACAAAAATTTAAAGTAACAACTTCTGTGTTCAGCAATTTTTCAGGCCATTTATATCTGCAACCATGAACCCATTTTTTACTTTATCTTTATTACTAATATTCTCCATAACAACATTCTCAGCCATTTAAAAAGACAAAATTTTGCTAAATTTATCATTTAAATAATGAAGATGAGGGGCTGGCGCGATAGCACAACGGATAGGGAGTTTTCTTTGCACGTGCTGACTGGGGTTCGATTCCCAGCATCTCATATAGCCCCCCGAGCAGCACCAAGAGTAATAATGAAGATGATTTGATAATTTATTTATTTTTAGTCACACCCGGCATTGCACAGGGGTTACTCCTGGGTGTGCACTCAAGAATCACTCCTGGCGGTGCTTGGGGGACCATATGGGATGCTGGGGATCAAACCCGGGTTGGCAGCATGCAAGGCAAACGTCCTATTCACTGTTCTAGCCCTCGATAACATATCTTTGCTACAAGTTACTTTTCTTGTAGTTAACTTGTAGTCATTAAAAATATACAAAATGGGGTTAGAGAGATAGGTAAGCTGGTAGCCTTCCAGAGGCGTTTGCTTTGCACATAGCTGATCTGGGTTCAATCGTAAGATCCCCTGAGCTCTGTCAGGAATGATTCCTGAGTGCAGAGCCAGGAGTGAACCAAAAATAACCCCTCCAAAATGGACTTTTTTCTTAAAAAAAAAAAAAAATAATCTTAGTATTATAGAATTGTAGTCAATTTTAGTGCCTACATACATTCTAATATCCTATTTCACTGAAGTAAGTAGAAGTGAGTGGTCCTGAAGTAAAAATTTTGGGGGACGAAAAATAATCATGACGACCATGATTACAAGTCTACAAAAATGTAATGTTAAAAAATTTCTATAATTACTATATTCAATGTATTTAGTAATCAGTTTTCCTAGATTCACTAACCTCTCATCTTGAACAAAAAATTCTCAATTCCTATTAAAGAGATCACATTAATTAAGGGGCTTTTGTTTTGTTTTGGGGTCACATCCAATGATGCTCAAACCTGGGTTGGGTATGTGCAAGGTGAGTGCCCTACCTGCTGTAGCATCTCTCTAGCCTCATCATTACAAGGTTTTTCTTAGGTTAAGAAATCCTCTATTCCATATGCACGTGATCACTGTAGGAATAATATAATTGTAATTGTTACCATTAATAGAACAGTTACTTGAAAAAATGATTTATTTTTAAATTGAAAGTTTAGTTGAGGGCTGTAGCAATTGCACAGCTGGAAGGGCCTTGCACATGGCCAACCTGGGTTCGATTCCCAGCATCCCATATGGTCCCCCAGCATCGCCAGGGGTAATTCCTGAGTGCAGAGCCAGGAGGAACCCCTGTGCAACGCTGGGTGTGTGTGACCCAAAAAGAAAAAGAAAAAAGAGTTCTATTGAGTTCCTTTCTTTTTCCTTTCTTGGGTTTTGGGTCACATTAGGGGCTACTCCCACCTATGCAGGTAACTCCCAGAGGTACTGGGGACTGAGCCAGGGTCTGCTGCATGCCAGGCTAGCACTTTAGCCTCTCCACTAGCTCTAGACTCTTCCCAGACTAGCTTCCAAAAAATGATTTATTTTTAAAGGCGTCATTCAATACAAATTCTGGGAACTACAGATGTGGTATAAACTAAATTATCATACTAAATGAAGTTCAATTTCATGCTTAATTAAAAATATATAATTAAAAGAGAATCAAATTCTAACCTTAGTCTTATAAAATTTCCTTGAACTATACAAGTATACAATTTCTAAATGTGCTAAAGATAACAAAACTCAAGTCAGTTTTCTGAAAAATATAATTGTTCAGGGACAGGTTTTTATTGCAAATATTTACTCAAAAACTACTATATACAGCAGAATTTTTAGAGCCATTTAAGACATGTAACATTCAGTGAAACAAAATTTAAGAATTGAAATACATTATAAGTAAAAATGCAGCATTTCAAATAAAATTTCTTAGTACTTCAAAGCAATTATTCATTTCTATAGCTATTATTTTCTAGATGATAAAAAACTGAAAAAAAAAATCAATTTAGCAGATACCTTACTGATAAATTAGGCTAAACATTCCAAACCTATGTTAACATCATTGCTTTAAGCCCATTTAAAATTCCTATTTTACAACAAAATTTAAAAAAAAAAATCACTTAAACAAGGCTGAATTCAGGGCAATAAATTTTACAATATCTACATTATACCATACTTTGGTTTGGTTCCCAGACCATATTAATGGGTCTATTTCTAAAGGTAATTATTAAAACAATTTTAAAAGCATAATAGCTACAGCGATTTCAACAGTGGGTTTTTACTTTATGTATCAAGGAATTTCTACACAGCTTATCCATGGACATAAAGCACAAATATAAATTCATATTTTAATATTTCACTTTCACTGAAAGTTTAATTAGGTAAGCGTATAGCCTGGAAGGCTAACCTATGGAGTTACACAGATTCAAATATTCTGTTTACATGCTTCTGACATTCAGGAATGTTACACTGAATCCAAAATTAAGTTCATGTTCAGCCAAATTTGAAAGATAAACTAGTTTATCACTCTCAACAATTTCCATTTACCAGCATCAGGCTAAAAAGAAAGCTAACAATGCCCAGGAGCTCTAATTTCACATCAAATATTCCCTGAAGGTATGTGGCTTCCAAGTCTCTATGAATTACTTAAAAAGAATAGGTAAGAAATATGGACTTTTAGCTTACGGTTGACAAGAGTTTCAAAAGTTTTCAATGTAACTAATTCCTAATAAGCAAGATTGGACCTGCTATCTTGGAAACTTAAGTGAGACTTTTCCATGAATATAATTTAACCTTCATGAAGATCCTATTGGTGTTTTAAAAACTTATTGGAAATTAAAAAATAAGTAAGATGACCTATTTTTTAAAAATGCCGTAGCCTGAATGTATTGATAAAATGTGAATGATCACTCTCCATTTTTTTTTTCCTATTTCTGAACTCTACAACACATCCCAGAGCTAATCTGGTAGCAACGCTGAAATGTTCTTGCTGATGGTGCCAAGGCTGAGAGTGCTGGTTAGCTCCGACCCTGCCCCCTTTCACCTGCCCGCTCTGCTGCAGGCTCCGCAGTGCCAGGGATGTTTTCTTCGGGGGCATCACCCACGGGGGCGGGCTCTGTGTCCTCAGTCCTGGCCAAGGGACCACCACTCCCTTTCTGCAGAACCCTGGAGGCCGCACTCTCAAGCATCTCGGCTGCAGCACAAGGCTCCAAGCGAACACGCCACGGCTCACTCACGCCAGGCTTGTCTCTGCTGCTCAAAAGCTCATTAACTGTAAGCTCAGCCTGTGTTAATCGTGGATCTTGAATATTCTCTGAAGATAACGTTGCTTCACGGGACTTCTGTGCTTTCCCCTGGGCACATGGAACCGCGCTTCCTGCGTGCGGGCCTCCTTCCTGTCCCAGGTCCTGACAAACGGGCTCTGTTTGTTCCTCCTCAAGCACCTCCTCCGTGCCCAAGCTTGAGTCAGTACCTAACTTAGTTTCTGAGCCCGGTTCCATTATGCTTTCTTTACTTGTATTTGCTGATGAGCCTTCAAATGAATCGGCTTCACATTCACTTTTCTCTTCCTTTAAAGGTTTTGGTTTACTAAAAGAAAAAAACAATATATATATATATATATGCATATCTTTTACTAGAGATTCCCTCTAACATATTTAAACACCACCAAAAACAAAACAAAGCAACTTTTTTTTTGTTTGTAGGAGTACTGGTATTTATCCAGCCACTGATTAGCTGATTGAATTGTGCATGAACTCCACATTACTTTTTTTTTTCATTTTTTATGATTTTATTTATTGAATCACCGTGAGAGCAGTTACAAAGCTTTTGGGTCTAAGTCTCAGTCATACAATGAAACACCCGTACCTTCACCAGTGCCCATTCTACACCACCAAAAACCCCAGTATACCCCCATCCCACACCCTCCCCCTACCTGCGGGGCAGATGATTTCCACATTACTCTCTCTCTACTTTGATTACATTCAATATTTTGACACCAGACCCACCATTATTATTTGTGATTTTACCCCAACACTCAGATCTGCTGAAAAGGCAACAGTAGACGATTTGTTTTCTATTGCTGGTTATGAATAACATATGATGTCATGTGGCTGCAGTAGTGGCCACGGGATTTTGAAATTCCGAAATTTTAACACTTAAATCTGGAGGGATTTCTGCCAAAAGCCACTGGGTTTCGAGATCTGCTCCTGAGTCTCTGGGATCATGGCTGTTGAACAACTTGATGAGGAGCCAGAGAGGCTGTTCGTGGGCGATGACTTGGGGTCTCGTTGGGGTGGGGAGGACAGGCCCGGCTCCACCCCACCTCGTGAAGTCCAACAAGATTCGTCACTGCGGGCCCAAGCCTTGACTGTCCAGTGGCCTCTGGAGGATGACGGCCACAGAGCCGCCAGAAGGAAACAGGCAGAGGGACAGCACCCTTTCCCCCCTAGGGTGGCCTGGCAACAGTAACCTACTGCGGGGTCCGGACACATTTCTGCCAAAAGCTGCTGGGTTTCGAGATTTTTTTCTGAGTCTCTGGGATCAAGGCCGTTAAGCAGCTTGATCAGGAGCCAGAGAGGCCGTTCGTGGGCGATGACTTGGGGTCTTGTTGGGGTGGGAGGACAGGCCCAGCTCCCCCTCCATCCCGTGAGGCCCAACAAGTTTCATCACTGTGGGCCCAAGCCTGACTGTCCAATGGCCTCTGGAGGATGATGGCCACCAAGCCTCCAAGAGGGAGCAGGCGGAGGGACAACACCCTTTCCTCCCTGGTGTGGCCAGGCGACAGTAACGTACTGTGGGGTCCAGACGCATTTCTGCCAAAAGCCACTGGGTTTTGAGATTTGTTTCTGAGTCTCTGGAATCATGGCCGTTAAGCAGCTTGATCAGGAGCCAGAGAGGCCGTTCGTGGGCAATGACTTGGGGTCTCATTGGGATGGGGAGTCCAAGCCCGGCTCCACCCCCATCCCATGAGGCCCTGTGTGTCTCGTCACTGAGGGCCCAAATGTGACTATCCAGTGGCCTCTGAAGGATAGCGGCCACTGAGCTGCCAGGGGGATTACATATATAATTTCTTACAGTAATCTCCTGGGAATGGAAAATTTTTTTCCCAAAATGAATCACTCAATTATCTAAGCAACATTATCAAAGAGTAATTATTTATTAAATTTTTATATGTATTTCTCTACTATATATTTCTATACTATACATTTTGTTCTAATGTATCTATAGATTAATCTTGGATCAAGATTCGAATCTTAACTGCTGACTAACAATGTACATTATTATAAAATAGAGTAAATCAATTATATTTTAACTGACAATTGCTTGTTAAGACAAAATTCAAAACAATGAATACAGAAAAACTAATATCCAACAGAGCATTGATTAAATAATTTTAATAAAAAGAATGTTACAAATCTTACTTTATACAGTCAATTTCTAAATTAAATCCTACTAACATTTTTCACTAAATCCACAAATTTGGGAAGTGGCCTATAATACAAGTTACTCATATATTATTTTTTATATCGAGTTTTTCTTCATTTAGAAACTGTAGCAACACTGCCTCACTGGGCCAAGCACTCACTCTGGCGTGAAGGGCCCCAAGCTCCAAGTACGGCTGGAGATGCACACTCCCTCCCACCAAAGGAGGAAAGTAATTTTAAAGGAAACTTAAAGATGATCCATTTGCAAAACTGTCCCATTCCTATAACTTGCACTGCTTCAAACTGTTTCTATAATTGGAGTAATCAAAGTTATTAACATTTTACTTACTAGTAAGTACTTTGAAAAACAGTAATATAATACGTACTTTACATCTTTCAAAGATTTTACAAATAGGGCTCTGTGGTAGGTATTTGGTGTAGTAAAATCTCAAAAACTATTTCAGTTAAAAGTTATTGGTAAAAGCAGCAATAAATTGAAATATTCCTTTACTAATGAATTGAAATAATGCAGCTCAAATGTTATTTTATATAGCTGAGTTTCAAAAAATTCGTTTTTCCCTTACCTTTTAAAATTTGATGTTTCTGTTTCTCTTTCAGGTATATCAAATCTTGCAATTTCCTAAAATGATTAATAACAATTTTTATTTTATATTCATGGCTAAATTAACTGTTCTTAATGCAGACTAATTTTATTATACTAGAGATTCTGGATAAAAAAGAATTTAAGTATAAAACCTAACATAAAATAAAATAGAAAAGTTCTTAATCCATTTCTGTTAACTTTCATAACTAAAATCAGGATTTAAAATTAAAAAGAATTTCAGTGTATCAAGTTTTTGAGTCATGAAGAAACATATCCTCTTTCAAATATGAACAATTAAAATTTACTTGAATGGAAATCTAAGAAAACATGACTGATTTAAATATAAGTTGCATCCGTATGGTTTTATGCAAACATACTGAGAACAGAATCCTAGATAAAACATTTATGAAATCATCATCTCATATCGAAACCGTGATAGCCTTTGCAACGGTCAAATCCAAAGAAAACCATACACTTATTATATAAATTATGCATTTTTCTTATCTTAAATGTTTTATGGAGGAAAGCATATACTAAGCACAGTAAATCAGAGGCCAAACTAAGAGTAATAACTATTGATTGTTGAGTTATACAATGTCTGAGAGAGTATATTAATAACTATATTTATTATCTCATTTAATCCATGATTATATATTATATAATTCTATATTATATATAGATATTATAAACCCCATCTTAGCACATTAGAAATAAAACTACCTGGTTTCAGTGACAGAATCCAAAGTAATACCACAACAACTGACAAAGATTCCAACCTAGGTCTAGTTTTTTTATAACTACTGTGACTGACTCAAGCTGTGAAATGGATACTGACACTTTAATTGCATACATTTATTTCCCCAACTTCCCCACATACCACTAAACTGAGGGCAAAGAAATAAAATAGTTCCACTGTAAAGACCACAGAAAATAAAGAGCTATACAGATCATCAAAGAGATTCCAACCAAGCTGTGGACAGACTCTTGATTGAATTTGCTCTTGATGACCATGAATAATTTGTACGTAATTTTAACTTCTGAATTACCCTGTCTCTACAATACTTATTTCTCCTTAAATACTATACATCTGAAATTACACATGTGGCATTTTTAGCATAAAATTATAAGCTGAAGGCACAAATCTGGAATAATTTTGGGTGAAATACTGGCTTATGTACCCTAGTACACAACTGCTCATATCTGCCCATATTCTTGGTCAAGAATATTTTTATGTAAATAAAACTAATTGGTATGCATATATTAGGGTATAGCTTCTAAAATATATTTTTCTGAGATATTTTCCCAGCTTATTTAAAATTTTTATGCTAATTAGGTTCTTAAAACTTTCTTTTCTGGAATAAAATTATTCTCTCTTTTTGGGTGAAACAACTTTTTATTGAAATAAATTTAAAGAGGTGTGCGGAGGTGGGGGGTTGGGAATACATATTTGAGAGAAAACACTGGAATAAAATTTTTTTTTTCTTTTTGGGTCACACCTGGTGATGCACTGGGGTTACTCCTGGTTTATGCACTCAGGAATTAGTCCTGGTGGTGCTCGGGGGGACCATATGGAATGCTGGGAATCGAAGCCGTGTTGGCCTCATGCAAGGCAAACCCCCTAACGGCTGTGCTATTGCTCCAGCCCAAAATTATTCTTAATGTAAACATACCTGGCTATCAAGTATATTAATTTGTGAAGAACTATAGTAATCAATATTTAAAGGTAAGGAAAGGTATGCTTCTTTTATTCTCAATACTATTTAAAATATAACAACATTGTTAACACATAATTTAATTTTGAATTTTACTAGACAAAAAGTGATTTCTTTTAATGGTTATCTATATGATTATAATATCTGATAAGTCCAAATGAATTTAGAAATACTCTAGCATTTGGATTAATATTTTGTGATCTCTAAAAGACAAATTATTCACGTAAAACTTATATCTAAGACTAAGCACATTATTTTACCACAATCACAAAAAGTATACTTTCTTAAATCTTTAAATACATGTTTTAATATGCATTAAAACCCTTCAATCTTTGGAAGAATGGAGCATTCAAAGGGCTGAAGCACATGCTCTGCATATAGGTGGCCTGGGCTTGATCCCTGGCACCACATGGTCTCCTGAACACAGCAGGGAACAGTTCCAGCAAAGAATCATAAGAAGTCCCTGAGCACTTAGGTGTCGTTTCATATGCCTCTCACCTTCACCAAAAAAAAGTGTGTGTGTGTGTGGGGGGGGGGGGGGGGAATACACTTTAAAAAAGCACATGATGGTTCTACTCTTCTGGAAGGGAGCATGACAAACACAACACATGTCATAATCATGCCACCGGACTCCATGCCAGGCTGTTTCATTTAGGGCACCCCCGAGGAGGGCAGGTGAGATCCCTCCCTGCCCCAGGGACCCAGCCCCGGCAGCCGAAAACCTCCAGAACTCCATGCTCACAGCTGCTCTCCACATGCTCAGGCAGAGCCACACCCATGAGTGAACTTATTCCTGGACAACTCATACCTTACACCACCCATACGCCAAGAATAACACTCCATATTTGATGGAGTTTAAAGTAAGAGGCAAACAATTTTAGAATAATTATTTTTTAACAGATGTGTGTGTGTGTGTGTGTGTATATATATATATATATATATATATATATATGTATATACATATATATATGTAAGCACACAAGACTTAACCTTAACAACATGCTAGTGATCTCTTATAGAAGGGCTTAAAGCTCCCGGGATGAAATACAACAATCTTCATACTCTTTCCTCTAAGAAAAGAGGCAGCATTTGGTAGCATTTTCAGCGGTTTTCCATAACAAACAATACAAAATAAGTTATTTCAGTTCTGCTTTGAGGCAGGGGTTGAGGTTCAAGATGGAAATGTTAGAAATATAGTAGTGGAAAAGTGTTCGAATATTAAATGTAATCAAATATTTTGAATTACTTTATAAAAATAAAATTTAAAAAAAGCACATGATGAAATAGGGAAATTCTGTGACCACAAATTCTATTAAAAAGTTTTCAATATTTGAAACCATTTTTAAAACCGCAAGTATTTAAAAAGTTTTTAAAATTGCATCACATTGCTGCTAAAAACTTTGCAAGGGAAACAAAATTAAAACAAAGTCTCCTGAGTTCAGCCAGGAGTGATTCCCAGTGTTCAGAGCCAGGAGTAAGCCCGGAGTACAGATGGGTGTGGCCTCCCAAAAAGAAGGGTTGCAAGCCCTATCATGCCAAGTTCATAAAAAATGACGGTGTGGATAAGATTCCTATTCTCAAGACCCAGCGGAACAAAGCAGCTTAAAATGAGATCAACCCAGAACAACTGAGAGCATCACCTTCCTCCTTCCCACTCAATCTTGGGCTAGTAAACATCAAATACCAAGCAACAGCAGTAATGGGGGTTGGAGATAGGGAGAAAAGGAGCGGGGAGAGAAGGGGAGAGAACCTGAGAGGTAAGTCTCCTGAGTAGGGTGTAAGGATGTTGAAGGAAAACTCAACACACACTAGCTCCTGCACGAAGCAGAGCAAACGGTAGAAATGGGCCTAGCAGAGCAGTGTAACTGCAACAACCAAAAAACCCAAACTGACCCTAACACATGAATCACACTGAAGAAAACAGGTGGAACACTTTATGACACTGAATCTAGAGGCTCTGCAATAATTCAATGCCACTGGCCAAGCAAACTGAAGCAAAGATAAACAAATGGGACTGCATCATATTTCAACCCTTCAACATGGCAAAAGAAAGAGGACTACAATAAAAAGACTACGCAACCTGGGGAGAAAATATTTGCCCACTACTCACATAAAAAAGGGTTAACATCTAAGTTATATAAAGCACTTGTATAGCTTTACCCCCCAAAAAATATCCCATTCAAAATTGGGGGGAAGAGATATAAAATATGAAACTAGGAAAAAATTACCAGTAGCAGGAAGAGTGGATTGTCATTCAAGACACCACAGACATTAAATGAATAAGGAAATACTAATAACTCTATGCACACCAATTCAACATTTTTAATAAAATTCACCAATACAGCCAAAACACTAACCCAAACTTAAGAATAAGCAAATAAACGGCACACAGCAACAAAGAACACTGCTGGAGGGCTCCACAGCTCCCGGAGAATGCTCCAGGTTCCAAACAGAGCTGATCTCACCAGGAGGTCCCAGATGGGGTAGGTGCAGCATCCCGCCTTCTCCAGATGAAACCCTGGTGACCAGGAGTCTCTACAAGCATAGCTCGGGCATGCGGGAACCAGGACATTTTTTCCAAACTGTGCGGCCGCATAACACCTCCTTATATACACAAAGTGATCAATGGAAAGTAAATCATCCAACGTTTCTCCCTGAAAATCAGGCTTAACTCTTTTGCAAACCACAACACTCAAAAGGAGAGAGAGAACAGAGGGGAATGCCTTGCCACAGAGGCAGGGTGGGATGGGGGCATGGGGAGAGGGAGGGATACTGGGATCCGTGGTGGTGGGAAATGGGCACTGGCGGAGGGATGGGTATTTGAAATTAAAAAATAAATAATTAAAAAATATGTACACACACACAAAAAAATAAGCAAATAACCAAAAAATTGTGTCTACTGAAGAAATTTGTAATTTAAACCTTTCAAACAAAAAAAAAATTTTCTGTGGTATAAAAAAAAACTCACCTGGGAAAAGCGATTCACTTATTCCATTGTACAAAACAGAAAAGTTATTAAAAAATTACATTCAACCTCCTAAATTCATATATTCAGAAATATACAAATAATGTTAATGCTTTAAAAATCGACATCAAACACTGGTGGAGAGATGGAATAACGTATGACTGAAATTTAATCATGAACAGCTTGTAAGGAAATGTCTCACGGTGACTCAATAGAACAATTTTAATGTATTAAAAAATTAAAAAAAATCAAGTAAGCAGGTACTTGGCAAAACTATTTCTATATTCATGTATTAGAAAGCCCATAAATAGCACTTTTTTGGTAATTCTGAGTATTCTATTTGAGTCTGTCTAAGATAACAAAGACATTTAATAGATAGCCAAGAAATCTCTATTTTAAAAATAAAGGTTTGGTAGTCTAACTGCTCCAGAAAATTGAATCATCTAGAGAGATTAATTTTTCCAATGCGCCAAATGTTGAGGTTTTTCTGATTACAGGTCACCTGCATCATAAATGTATCTCCGTTATTTATTTATTAAGGTAAATAAAGAACAAGTGAAACAAATGCTATCTTTAACAAAATAAACACATAATCTAACTCATCTGAAGAAAACAAAGACCAAACACAACTTCTTCCTTCTGGAAACATGGTAATAATTACTGCTGTATATACACTAATCTGAAATATTTAAAACCTCACAAAAATGTATAAACAATAAAAGTATGAATGAAGCAAAATTTACCTCACATATAGGTTCTTGTTCCTTACCGGGAGTTTCATTTTTTAATCTTGAAGACAAAATAAATATTGAATATTTTATTTTATATTTACAATGAAAAACTATAAAAGTTTTTGCATGCTAAAAAAATTAAAATATTAGTCTGAACTAATGTACACTGTCTATTTAGTAAATGACCAAAGTAAATATTTTAAGGTAAAAATAAAGTGCACGTGATTAAATAGAAGATTCAATAAATGTGCTAAAAAATGAATAAAAATGTGCATTTTCTTTCCTAAAAACAAGAGCACTGAAGGCACATTCTCAACATTAACTACAATTTAAAATTTACAATGTTACATATTAGTAATGTTTTATAAAGTTATTCTTTACAATTAAAAACCGCATAAAAAAGGAAAAAACCACATTTATGCTTATTAAAAAACACATAGAAATGTATTCCATTATAGCACAGAAAGAGATATTCTATGTATTGTGAAATTCAATATAATAATTCCGTATCAATATGTATTCTAATCATCTTACTCCTGGATGCAGCAAAATCACAGGAAAAATTTTTGAATTTTAAAGGACATATCCTTTTAAAAACTTTTATAAGATAGTTCAAATAATAAAATTTTAAACTTATTAACTTTCAAATAGAAAGTGTAATTTATTAAACATTAACAATGGCACATGTAGTTCATATATAAAATATTTTAAAATATTTACTCAGTTTTTCATGTTTCAGAAAATGCTAATGCCTAATATTTGCTGATATTAAAATCAATTTTAATTTACAGAAACAATATGTCCAACTTATTGAAATATCCCTAGTAAGAGATATCCCTTGTAAGGTAAATCATACTTTAAAAGTTTTGGTATCTCGAATATAAATGGCAGCTATTCCAGAAGCTTATCTATGATTGGCTGATGGAATCAGCAGTTTGAAAACACTTCTCTTATCTCTTATTATTCATTCTCTGAGGTTACATATTAAAAATTAAGTCCATAAATGTTAAAGCTTTATTAAATGGATTAGTAATTTAACAGTAAAATTACTTATATGTAATTTAGCATAAAGTTGCAAAAACTTGAAATGCAGAATGTCCTTTTGTCAAAGAAGCACTATTTTGGAAGTCTACTAATGCAAACTTACAAATAAAAAAATTTAAAATCCAAAAAACTAAATGAAAAAAATTAAAAGTTGACAAAATGCCATATGGTGTCTATTTTTTTATGTTAAAGGTTTTATAATGCAAGTAGTTAACTGTGAACAACAATATAAAGATAAAATAACACCAAGTATAAAGTGCAGTTACAGTGCTTTAATATTGAGGGATAATAGTTTCAGCAATACGTATATAAAGTAGTTAAGAAAATGTGTAAAAAATTAGAGCAAAACAAGTGATTAATAAAATTTTGAAATTTATACATTACAACTTATTTTTATTTCTAAATATTTAACAATTTTAAACTCAGTTTGAAAACTGAAACAGGGCTGGGGAGAGAAGTGCAAATGGCTGGAGTATGTCCTGCACCCAGGAACCCAGTTCCATTCCCAGCACCCACGCTGCCTCTCCCAAGAGCACCTAGCTGCTCTGGAGCACATGTGGTCCTCCAAAAATAATGATCAAAAAATGCAAGAAATTGGTCTTAGCATAAAAACATAAAAGAAAAATTTTTCAGTTTGCCTTTTAAAATGTTATCAAATCAAGAACATATGTTCTTGCAAAAATAATAACAGTATGCTGATCATTTTCACAAAGGCTATTCTAATGAGTTGATTTTTACGCAGCAATTAAAATAAAAGCTATTAAATGTGCTACTATTGATATTCCCACTGGGAAACTGAGATGTTTTAGTATCTCTGCAAGGGAGTCTGACGACAGATTAATGATTCTCTTCTTTTTACTGGTTAAGAAACTGGTAGATAAGAACAAAATAAGTTATTGAAATAACAAGCATTAATGTCTATTATACCAGTCTTTTCTATGTGTGTGCATGAGCGAGCTGTGTGTGTGTGTGTGTGTGTGTGTGTGTGTGTGTGTGTGTGTGTGTGTAGTCTTAACCACACTATAGTATTGTCTGTAAGAAACTTAGAATTGTAATAATCATTAAAAACATTTAGGAGAAAAAAAATTTTAAAATACCCTGAAATATTAGAAAAACACTACATAAAGTTTTACTTAGTTACAAATTCATCTAGAAAATAATACATTTTTAAGACTACAGAAACATATTTTAAGAAACAAAATTTAGAATGACTTTTTAGTAATATATTTTATTTTCTTAACTTTTTTTACTGAATTACTGTGACAGACCCTTACAAAGCTGTTCATGATTGGATTTCAGTCATACAGTTAAAATGACTATTATTAATAGATTTGAAAAAGAAAAAGGCTCTTACCTGTAATTCTTCCTCTGTCACCCCTCCCTCCGCCCCCGCCCCACCCCTGCCCAGGGACAGCAGTTCCCCACTACCATAAATTACGCTGTCAAGTTTCCCACATTTGGGGAAATCTCAGGGGTCAGCATATCCGGAGTACAATGAATAAGCCTTGCCCTGGGAAAACCACCTTCATGATCATGGCATCTCCCTATCATCTTACCTGTAAATTCTTATTCGTTAAAGATACCTGCTGAAATAATCATCATTTGAGATATTCAATTGTCTGGTTTAAGAAAGAGTGAAATTTGCTAAGCTCAAAGTTCTGAGCGAATAACCTGTCATTTTAAGTTTTTCACTTTTCACCTATGTTGCAATATTTTTTATAGAAAAAATACAGTGTAATATTTAAAACAAATACCATGTAAGGTTGTAATGTATAAGAATAGAATAATTGAGTGGTGATCAATCTTAACAACAAAACATTATATTCAAGATTATAAATAAGTAACTTTTCTCCTGTAGATAAAACTACTGAAATAGATCTCTCTGATGTATTTTTGACCAACAACCCTTTAATCCTGAAGATTAAACTGAAATAAAGACCTTACTGGCACTTCTTTAGGTCATATATACAATCCACGTCTACATATAAAATGAGTATTTTGGTTCAGTAATATCAGTGTGTTCTTTTGAGGTTTCATTCATACTTTAAACATACTGTGCAAAAGGGGAGAGGACTCTGCGGGGGAATGCTCAGAGTCCTCCTGGCCGATTACATTCTTTCCAATCAAATTTTGAATGCTGAATTTTTAAATGTAGCAATTTATGAATATTTGTAATCATCTCATTATATCAAAAGTTGAAAAGAGATTTATAACAAGCTAGCAGTAAAGTTAACTGGTTGTTAAGAACTCCACCTAGATATTGAGGATTAAATTCACGCTAGTAGCCACCGGATGAGGAAATAACAGTAAACATCTACTGCACGATTTCTGATCATTTGTTCTGAGCTGTGAGCAAGTAGAAAGGGTGAGTGAGGTAAATATTTAGAAGGTTGCACAGACAACATTTACTCTGCTAAGAGCTCCAGCCCATAGTAAAGGCAGTTCCTCTTTTTCAAGATCCCTATCAAAGAAATGTATTAAAAGCAAATGTTTATAGAACTGTGAAACTATATATATATATGTATATATATACAAACATACACACATACATACATACATACATACATATATATATATAAAATATACATAGCTGTGCAAAGAATCAAGTCAATAAGAGGAGGAGGCAAGGAAGCAGTGAAGCAATTCCAGGCATGATAAAAACAAAGAAGTATAAAACAAGTATAAAATAAGACAGCAATGATAAAAGTCTGAGTAGCCCCTATGACTAGAGGTGGGGACCAGAGGCAGTAGTCAGAGATGCAGTAAAGAGACATGGCACAGCCAGGGAAGGTCTTGATGGCCGTGTTGAAACATGTGTTACTGAATACTTACACTATTCTAAAATTAGGAGGGAAATGTCAGATTTGTGACAAAGAGCAGGATTACAAGAATCTGGGCTGCATGTGGGGCTTCAAGTTAGCAGGTAAAGTAGCAGTAGCTTAGATGGAAAAGAGGAAGGTTTAGGGAGATAAGGTGAAACCAACTGACTATAAATACGACCTGGGTAAAATTACTAAGAGGAACACATATGAAGCCCTGCTCCCTGTCTCCCCTCCACCCTGGCCAAAAATAAAATATCCTTTCTGACTGGAAAAGAATGACAGTGACATTAATGAAGACAAAATCCAGAGGTAGATAAACAAGTCTGCGGCACCAAGAACATTCACACAGCAAGTTATACTCAGGTCAGCTCAGTCTTGTGTATCTCAGCACCCAGACATCTGAACCCTAATTTCTACTCAGATAAACTCAAAATTATTACCCAGAGCGATAGCACAGCGGGTAGGGCGTTCGCCTTACAAGCGGCCAACATGGCCGACCCGAGTTCGATTCCTCCGCCCCTCTCGGAGAGCCCGGTAAGCTACCGAGAGTATTCGATATGCCAGACACAGTAACAACAAAGTCTCCAATGGAGACGTTACTGGGCCCGCTCGAGCAAATTGACGATCAACGGGAGGGCCTTTTAATTTTAATTTAATTATTACCCAGAGCATGATTCCTTCATTCTTACTACTACTGTTTAGTAATCAAAAACTCAAATGAAAAATGAGCATATTGGAATAGGCTTGAGTCCTATGATATTACCATCTTCATTTTAACATTGTTAATATTGTTTCCATACAATAGATGAGAAAATCTAGTGTCTATGAAAGACTACAGAAATTAAGCAGCACAAGGGCTAAAGTACTTCAAGTTTCTACTGCACAGCCAACTTTCCTCGCAGGAAGCAGACTCCCTGATAATCATGCCAGAAAAATGGGAAATAGCAAAACTGATGTATTTCAACATATTTTCCACTTTAAAGCATAATGCCAAGTAAATTTTACTAATGGAGCACTTTATGTTATCATTTGTCAACATTTTCTAATACTCACAAACAGAAGAAACGCTGTTCGTAAATCTGGAAGCTAGATCCTGGCCCCAATATTACAGCCTGTGAGTTAGAGCCTACTATTCTTTAGAATTAGAGGGCCTTCACTAAAAGTTCAGTCCTATCCAGTTCCTGGGACAATT